TTTTTTTTTTCTATCATTTAACTGACATTCCAAGCTTATGGTATAGTTTAAGCAAATATCGGGTCTTTTAATCAACCTTATATAACACATTATTGTTAATTCTTAAACGGTAACGTACTTTGAGTTGGCCCTCGAGAGTATCCATAAGATAATCGACAAAACCATCGTCAGAGTAAGCCCACGAGTCTTTGTACACGGGCATTAGGTAATTGTTGATGAAATCATTGCTACCAAGTGCCACCACATATCGAGCTCCATTGAAAAACTTTTCAGCCTCACTTTCTCCAATTTTGGCCCTTATCAAACTTTGAGTGCCCTGAAATAGCTCTATCTGCTTGTACAAGCCAAATCTCTGGACCTTTACAAAAAAAAAACGAAACAGTTTAGGACTCACAAGACTTGCAATTGATTTTTTTACGAGAATAATTTTGATGCTATATATGTATATATATACATACAAAGTACGATCCTGTTTCGTTCAAAATGCCGCCTCCACCAGACGCGTAATTCACTCCATTTTCAAGTATGAGGTCCTCGTTTAAAGACGGATCAAGAAAAGCAAGAGGCCTCGGGAGTCCCATTCTATCGCCTGTTGATTCGTTAAAAATAATTTTTCAAACTCTTTGATATCATTGTTACAAAATATACGAACATCTAATGATCAAGTTGTGAAATGTATACAGTGTCGAAAGTAAAGTGAGTTCACACTTTTTTTTTTTTCTCTCCTTCAACTTACCTATGATATCAGCCACAGTTCGCCCGTTAGAGAACCTACCGTTAGGCAAGCCATTCCCAAAATCAATACCGTACCATGGAAGATTAGCTTGAGCAAGACTCTTGGATAGATAAATGTTATTACCAACATCTGAAAGAGAATCCCCAAAGATGAACTGAACCACCTTGCAGTTGTATCCACCGGCAATAAACGAAAAAAGAATCACGTAAACTGGTATTATTGTCACCATTTTTAGCCTGACCATTGTTGAAAAAATACTTAGAAAAACAAAAAAAATTGCATATGGTTTGTAAACACAACATAAAAACCTAAAGTATTATGGGGATGCTTTTTGAATAAAGAGGGAAAAAAAGGTAGTAAGGGTTGAGGAAGTTTGATGAACCAATACTGGTAGGGATCCTAACCAACTGCAAACTACCTTGTATTAGGATATTAAAGGCACAAGCCTAAGTAGACCAAAGGAAAAATATAAATTATTACCACAATCAATTCAAGTCTACGAAGAAGAAAAAATAAAAAATAAAAATAAAAAATAAAAAATCGAACTAATCATAGAAGTTTTGACTTAGAAGATGAACTAATCAGGAGAGCAGTACTGTATTATACAGTTATTAATGTTTGAGGATATATGGTACACATATATAATACAGTCCTGATGACTTATAAGTCTGACCATTATATATGGTAAGTTCACCTAACATTAGCCTTATTTGTAGAAGTTGTAGGCCCTGGAGCAATTTGCTGTAAAAAAGATGATTTGGTTAACTAATTGAAGGCTTTTTTAGACTGATAAAAATATCCCTTTCTCTTTTTTGTTTACTTTACAGTAAACTTGCACTTATTATAATTTACTTATGCTGGATAAATTTTCAAATTTAAACTGATAACTTTCATAGTTGCATTCTACTAAACAAGCTTAGGACTTGAGACATATCTAGTAATTAAGAGCTTAACATAGGCTAATCAATTGCTATTATCATGCAATCCATTGTAAAGTGCCCCTATCCACTTTGGTTACATCAACCAAGCCAAGATAAAAGTATACATCATCATATAAAAATGCATAATGTTTTTAGATTCATCAATTAATATTACTAAATATATTGAATAATATAGATAATATAGTATTTTTATTATTATCATATAACATTATAACTCCAGATACATCATACATAACTCAAAATATATAGTTACATTATTAGATAAATAATAATAGTAATAACGATATGTCAGTTCCTAAATGTTTTTCCTTTGCTTTGCTTCTGGCTTCTTTTTTACCTGGTATATAGGTTAATATGGAATCAATGCAAGCAAACACAGCATAATCATCTTAACAAACTCATGAAGAAATCAAGAACCTTTTCTGAATGGTGATTCAAGTTTTTTTTTTTTTCTTTTCTTCTGAAAAGAAAGGGAAAAGAAAAGGCAATAGAGTGTTTCGATTTTTGTGTTCTCCACACCGAAATTTCTGACCATTTGCTATATATATTTTTTACCGTTACAAATGGCGGCCAAATCACCAGTAATCATTGCACGAGCACCTTCCTTCTCGAAAGTGATGAAACCGATTCCGATCCCTGACCACCACTTTCCGGTCATAAACAGCCGACAAAATCTTGCAAAAATTATGACAGTCCGCACATATACGCAAATCTTTCGCCACTCTCACAGTCGTTCCAGGTGGTGTCTCGAGAATCACAAAAGCAATAGCCAATTTTTCGCTATGGTACAAAACCTCACGACCCGGCTCGATTTCTGCTACATAACCAGCAATTCTCAGCTGCTGATTGATTTCATCGAGCTTTCCGTAAATAGCCTTTTTACTCGGGTGCAAAACATCGTCTGCGAAAAATTCATGAACTTGACCTTTCAACTCTACCGAGCTGGAAGCCGGTGTTGTTCGAATGCTCTTCTCCTTCATCATCTTTCGAATTTCCATTACTTTTTCAGATTCCCCTGAAGACGAATAAATATTCAGCAAGAGAATGTAATCCCCTGCTTCTTGAGCCTTGAGCTCGACTAAACGCTCGACAACCCGTTCTCCCAACGCCGCGTGACGGTGAATCCTACAAGCCCCGAGCAGTGTTCTCCACATCGTGGGGTCCGGTTTGATCTCCATAGAGTTCACTAGCTCGTAAGCCTCGTCGAGTAAGCCCGCACGGCCCAATAGGTCCACCATGCATCCGTAATGGTGGATACTCGGCTGGACTCCATAGTCCCGGCTCATGGACTTGAAAAAAGCTCGGCCCGTTTCGACCAGGCCCGAATGGCTACAGGCAGATAAAAGCCCGGTGAACGTTTGATCGTCCGGAGAAATCCCTTCTGCACACATTTGGTGGAAGGCCCGGATGGCTTCTGGGCCGTATCCATTGCTCGCTAGGCCTGATATCAAGGCGCTCCACGTCACCACGTCTCGATCGGGCATGTGTTGGAAAACCTCGTATGCTTTCTCCATGGATCCGCATCGAGAATACATCGATATGAGAGAGTTGGAAACATTTTTCGCGTGGGAAAGTCCGTTTTCTGAAATGTAGCGGTGGACCTTTTCGCCCCAGTCGAGCACGTTCAGGTTCGCACACGCCCGGAGGACGAGCAAGCACGTGACATCATCCGGCGGGCAACTCGAGTTGCTAATCATCCTTTCGAACAAGGTTAATGCATCACGGGTTCGCCCGTTGCGCGTGCAGCAAGAAATCAATACGTTCCAAGCAACGGTGTCTCTGTGACGCATTTCTTCAAACACCTTGTACGCACTACTACCTTCCTGCAAGGACGAGTACAAATCCATCAACGTGGTCATTAAACGGCCATCTGAGGAAAACCCATCTTTACATATCCTGGCGTGAATCTGGGCCCCGCCGCGCAGGGAGTTGATGTGGGCGCAGCACTTGACGGCCCCGGCCGCCGACAGTGAATTCGAAGGGATGTTTGAACTGAGCAGCTCACGGTAGAGGCGGAGGCCGTCGTGGGCCGTGTTGGGGCTCAGTGAGTGAGCTCTGATTATGGTGTTGTAGAGGAAAACGCCGGGCGACGGGAAGCCGCGGAAGATCCTGCCGGCGTAGGAGACGGCCCGGAAGGGAGGGAGGGCGAGGCGGGAGAGGAATGGGCAGAAGACGGCGGGGCTGTGGAGAAGGGAGGTGCGGATGAGGAGGCAGTGGAGCTGGAGAAGGTGGGATTTGTGGGAGCAGGATTTTATGAGGGAGATGAGTGTCTCCTCTTGATGGGTGGCGTTCATCGGAGTTTTTCCGGTGGGTTCTGATTCCGTTAGCCTACGCCAAGTTTTGGTGCTAATCTATCAAAGACTTGTTTCCGTTTTTCCAACAAATATTTTTAGATTGAAATGTCATATTTTCAAAATAGGTAAGAATATACATTTTTATTAAAGTCTTGCTCAAGATTTCATTTTTATTACAGAAGTATTACGAATAAGTCGATCCACAAAGGGGGAAAATTGAAATTGCTATTTATTATTAACACAAAAAAAAACTTGACATAAAACTTAAGGGGGAAGGCAATATACGTTGACACAAAAGTTAACTTGCATTGACACCATTTTTTGCAAATGGCAAAATGAAGAAGTCACAATAAGTAAAATAAGATTCAAGAAAGCTCAACACAAAACTAAAAACAGAATTTACTTGTCAACAATTAACTTGCATTGAGGCCATTTTCAGCAAATGGCAAAAATGAAAAAGTTCCAAATCAAACACAACCACAGAAGTAAAATAAGTTTCAAGAAAGCTCAACACAGAAATAAAACAGAATCTACTAGACTACAAGCGCCGCGAATTCCTCTCTCTCTCTCTCTCTCTCTCTCTCTCTCTCTCTCTCTCTTTTCTCCTTTTCATTTCCCACCTCGGCCACGACCACGCCCACGGCCTCCTCCCTTCCCACGCAACGCCTTATTGACATCATCTTTTATCTGCATATTTTCGGGCAAAGGCAAAATCTGATCCACACACTTTCTGAAGCTAAAATCATCGGTCGATCCATCTTCTCTCGTGAGGAAAAAACAGCGGCTCTTAAACTGAGGATGAAAACGAACTTGGAAAGCTCTAATCCCATTCCCGATCTTTCTATCTGGATCTGAGTGGCCTTGCTTGAGGAGTGCTAGCAGCATTAAGTGCTCATACTAATTGTGAGCAAGAAAAATAAGATAAGAGTGAGCTTGCATTAGTACACATAGAAGCAGACTTAGAATGGACGGTTAAGATCAGAAAAAACAACAAACAAGAGATAGAGATCCAGGTGTAAAATCTAACAAATGGGTTCATTTGTACTTCTGGGTGGCATAATCAAATTCTTTTGGGCTTAAAATTTGTGTAATCGGGTAATTTAATCACATAACCCAGGTGCAAGTAGTTAATTTTTAGATTAGATCCATTCAACAAATACCTTACTATTGTGTTTGGTTTCATTAGTTCTAGCAAGGAAAAAACTTTTACACTGTAGTTTGGATTCCTGATCCTCACAATTGTAAACACACTAGCAAACAAGACATAAGTACCTATACTAAAAGTTTCTATTAACAGGTCAGCATTCAACCAAATCAGCAAAAACAACATCATAGTGCAGTCTTTACTCTATACTCCAACAACATGTGTGCTTAACTGAACGCAAAGAACAATGTCGAAAATGAAAATCTCCACACAAAATTTTCATTCCAAACAAGGTATATTTCCATGATGAACAGTGAGAATAAAAAAAAAGTTCCTCATCTGTGAATTTTCACAGAATTAAACAGAAAATCCGACATCAATGGACCTAGTTCTTCAAGAAATTAGTTATACCTCCAAAGTTTCCCCAAAGAATCTCCATAAAAGATACTAATAGTTCAAGATATCCAGGGCCATTCATTTGGAAATTTGTAATAATACTATCTTTTGTCTTTGTTTCAGCTAAAATATTTCAACATAAAGAAGGTTACTTTGCAAATAGAGAATGCAAAGATTGTAATTTTGCAATACCCTACATTCGTTTGCACTTTCTCATTCCTGTTCAATGAGGCTATATTTGATTTTTATGATATTTCACCAAAAAAATAAATAAATAATTAAGAGATGCCCCAAATATGAAAAGCTTTCAACATGTTGAGCATATATATTGCACCCAATTGAATCCAAACCACCACTCTATTCATAACCTCAACTTCAATCACATAACTCCAACCAGAAAACACAGCATCGCAGACATAACAAAACCTCAGACGTCACATTTACCTTGTTAATGTCGAGATTAGTTGGCCAGGCATGAAGAAGCTTAAAGAAGTAATCGAAAATCTCGACGGACGATCCGAACGTTTTCGGACCGACGGCGGCGCTGCTTGATTCCGTCTCATCCTCCTCTATTTTCTCATCACCATCTCCGGACTTGTCGCCCTCGATTTTCGCCTTTTTCTCTCCATTTTCATCCGCCGCCTCATCTTCCTCCCTGGCGCGCTTCGAGACGTCGTCGCCGGAACTCTCCTCCGCTAGAACAGGATCAGCGGCGCCTTGTGGTTCCGGTTCGTTTTCCATCGGGACTTCGGGAGTCAACTCGTCAGCCATTAGTGGGGTTCCGAGCAGTGAGGCGTGAGCATAAACCCTAGGTTTCTCTTCTAGGGTTTTATTTTAAAAAAAAAAATAAAAAATCACCTCTGGTTCTCTGTCACACGTTCTAATTATGGGTCCATTACGTTACAAATTAAAGAAAAAATGACCCCTTCACTATATCCTTAACCCATTTTACAATAGGAGGCTTGTTCACTATTTAGACAATTTTACTCCATTTCTTTGTCATATATACCCCTTTTTCAAATTTTTAATTAATAAAATTTTGTAACCGTTGTTTTATTTTGTTGAGCGGTTATTATTATATATTTTTTTAATTCATTAAAAAGTTTAGAAAAATGACACGTCTTTGATATAAAAAGTTTAACCATATTTTTCTCCTCTTTCATTTATTTTCCTTTTTTTTTTTCTCCCCTGAATTCTCCAATTTCATAGCACATACAAAATAATTTATTGACCCATCTTTTAATCTTTCCACTGCTCTTTGTCCTTCCCAATTTTTTCTATTTTTCTTCTCGCAGGTCTCCAGAGGTCCGGATCTATGAAATGGTGTCCTGCTCGTGACTGGGGGCGACATGTCCTTCTCCAGCGTGCGAAGGTGCGACGATCGGTGACTAGAATTGACGGAGAAGACATATATGACTTTTGGGATTCGCGACGGCGATCGAGAAGGGGAAGCCTTCAAATAGATCCCTAATGTCCAGTAAAGACGGGTCGAACATGTTGCCCCGGCGGTTGCCGAATAAGCTCCGAAAAGGTAATAATGAATTTTAATTTTTGCTTTTTCTTTTCCGAAATGGTGGAAATTTAATTATTTTTTTAAATGGTTTATTTTAATTGTTTATCAAAGGTGAATCTGAGCCTCAGTTTGTTATTGAGATATTAACTTGGTTTTTTTTTTAAAAAAAAAAGATTATTTTTCTCTTGTCCATGATTTGTAGTTTTTTGTCCTTTTTATTTTTTGTCAAATGCATATCTTGATGTTAATTAGGTACACGCAAGTGGAAAAAGGAAAATTAATGAAATTAGCAAAAGTTAAAATGAGAGATATAGAAAAAGCAATCTCGGATTTGAAGCAAGCCATTGTGAAAGGTTAGGATTTTTCAAGCTGCGGATTTTTAAGATACATGTGTTTGGTTTAAGGGATGCCGAGGTGAGTACTTTGTTATTAAATTTTGTACACACAGTTATGTTGTTCTTATGTTGATTGATTGGTTTTATGTTGTTTTTATGTAGTTCTTATGTTGATTGATTGGTATTATGTTATTTTTTTGTTGTTGCTGTTAACAAATTTTTATTATTTTAATTATTTTTTCTCTCATACATAGTTCACATACATGATTGTCCATCTATTTTTAAAATAAATTTTGTATGTACAATTTTTTGAGTTTTTTTTTTTTCTCTTTAGTATTCATGATTGAAGAAGAAGAATGAAAGAAGAACGAAAAGGAAGAAGAAAGAGAAACGGGAAAAGAGAAGTAGGAAAGATAAAGAAGAAAGAGAGCAAAAAAATAGGATGAGAGAGAGAGAATAACTAGTTATTAGTTTAATTTTTTATTTAATTCTTTGTAACTTCTACAGTTATAATTAATTATGAGATATTATTTTGGAAAGGAAAAGAGTAATTTCGGAATTCTCTCAAACGAGAGTTTTTTTGAAAATCGTTTATAATAATTGGTTACTTACGTATTTTCCCCCAAATTAAACTGTCAAAATGAGATCATGCTAAGGCCCAGTTTCGTTAATGGCCCAAATTTCATGATAAATTGGACCCAATAAATCATAGTATATTTAAATAGATTGGGCCATATCCTCCAGCTAACCAGACCGAATAAAGCCCAACCCAAATTCTCTTAGCCCTGGACCGACAAAAAGCCCGAGCTCGAGTATTAGAAACTTGAACCCAGTTGAGTCCGTTCCAACACAAATTCTTGTGTGGAGTAATGCTCCCCTATTCACGGTGGGTACAAATTAATATGTCCACCGCTTATGTGGCATGCACATACGGTGGGCATATTAACATGTGCCCACCGTGGGTAGGTGAGCATTATTGTTCTTGTGTGACCCATTACATTTTATCCACATAAGCGGTGGGCATATTAACATGTGCCCACCGTGGGTAGGTGAGCATTATTGTTGTTGTGTGACCCATTACACTTTAGTATTAAAAAAATGCATAATTATATTATGAGATGTCATCGTTTTTTTTTTTTTAATAAGATATATTAGTATGAAAATTTGCATAAATGTTATAATAAAATTGGTTTTGTAACATTTATTTATGTTGTTTTATTGTAAGGTATGTAAGTATTCATATCTATATATATATATAATTGTTGGCAGATGCATTAAATAAAACATATAATAAAACCTTCATAATTTTCCCGTTCATTTTTTCAATTAATGTAAAAACGTTAGGGCATGATTGTTTATCATCCCTACAGTAATTTTTTTTACTCAAATTCAAATTTAACTCAACTTTAACTCAACCCCACTATCTTCAATATTATTATATAATTAAATAACATCAACAAATCATTATTACATATCACATCAACTTTAATTCACTATTCATCCACTCACATAATTCTAACTAATTTTAACTAACTATCACTTCCAATCATTTTTCTCCTACTTTACATCAAATCAACTTTAACTATTTTATTTTAAATACTATTTTAATATATCCACTAACAACTTACCATACAACTTTTTCTTAAACTTAACCATAATTAAAAAATTTTAGTTTTTTTACTATTCAAACCATAAACAATCACCCCCTTACATTTTACATTAATAAAGTGTAATAACAATTCTAAACTAATTTATTATATAATATTACTACTAACACTAAATGATTATAATTTTACATTAAATAGATGTGGAAGTTACATACTTAAAAGAAATTGTATTGCAATTTTTTTCTTTAAAATATTTTTTCTAAAATAAAATAATTATTGTCTTTTATCTAATATTAATTAATTGGCATGAGTGTCATAGTTAAACACCTTTAAAGTCATTTAGACAACTGCTATAACAGTGATAAAAATATTTGTAATACTTTTTTAACTAATTAAATGTATGGTCCATCTAGATTACTAAATTATATTGTCCATTAAAATTTATGGCATCAATATAAATATTCATACGTAAGTTAAATAATTTATATTTACATTACACATTTTCGATATAGTCAAAATTTAAAATGTAATACATTCATTATTTAATATAAAATTTTATATATTGTATGCATAGTTGCATATATATAACTAGTAGATATCCTGTGCACATGCACAGATGTAAATACAATATTAGTAAGTAATTTTGAGAATTTAATATTAAAATTCTTGATAATTAACATATTACATTTTCAAAAATTTGATCATTAAGAAAAATAAATTAACGATTTTATGTCACATAGGTGAAATTAAATGCTAAGCTAGAAATTATATATATATTATTATTATTAAAATACAATTGTTTAGAAGATTCTAAAATTGTTTAACTATGTTAAAATAATTTACTAATTGTTTTTAAAGAAATATTTTTATGAGATACAAAATATAAAGATAATATTGATGTTAAAATACATAACTTAAAACAATTGTTTATATTATGTAATTTATATTTATTGTGAATTACTATTAGTTGGTATTAACAATAACTATTATATATTATAATAAAAACATACATAATTACACTCATTAAGATATATTAATGTGAGAAGTAAAAAATATTAATGACAAATTTTGTAACTGAAAATGGAGGGAAAATTTTAGAGGTTTTATTAAATGTTTTATTAAATGCTACATGCTAGCAATTATATATATAGATATATGAATTTTTTTTGTGCATGTGCACAGAATGAATACTAGTATGCATACATTGTCAAAAAAATATAATTGTATTACCGTAAAACATGTCTAACAACAATTTTACTGCTCGTTACTGCAAATAAAATGTGGTACGTAAAAAATGTAATTGTATTACCATAACCGTAAGACATGTCTAACATTAGTCTTACTGCTCATTACTAAAAATAAAATGTGGAACTGTCTTCGTCATGGTCAGTGTTTTCTGATACGCTCTAACACATTGAAATCTAAATTAAATTTAATTATAAGTGGGAAAATTTCTTTTATTTTTTTCTTGAATAATATTTAAAAAAGAATAAAAGGGATTTAAAATAAATGTAATAAGTCCCATAAAATTGAAAAGAAATGTATGCATAGGTAAGTGGGAATTTTATTTT